CCCCTTTCAGTCCCACCTCCCTCCTCCCTGCTGCCCCCCTCCCTGAGATCCTCCCCGGCAGGACCAGGTCCCGGAAGCTTGCAAGCCAAGCCCACCTCGCTCTCTGCCCTCCTCCCTCCCCCGCCCCCACAGGCACTGGCGCCAGCTGACCGACAGACAGACGCAGGTGCTCTGGAGGTGGGGCAATGCCAGCAGCCGAGGAGTTAACAGCCCTAGCGGGGGTTTGGCGCCAGGGACGCAGGGGTCAGATGACCCTCCGGGATGGGGACAGGCACTCCCCGCTGCTATTCCCGGGCTCAAATCATGACCACCTATTTATAGTGCTGGGGGAGGGGGCTTGGCCCGCCCCACACAGGCGGCAGAGAGGCTGCCCTGCGGCAATGTCAACGGCAGCAACGGCAGCAGCAGCAGCAGCGTCACCGTCACCTTCACCGTCACAGCTACTGCAGGCTGCCGGCACCTGTCACAGCCACCAGAGGAGACAGAGGGGCTGCAGCCCGGCAGGGACCCCAGGGTCACCGAGCACTGTACAAGGCCACGGCCAGATGGGCAGCACCATGGAGCCCCCCGGGGGCGGGTACCTGCACCTAGGCGCTGTGACGTCCCCCGTGGGCACGGCCCGTGTGCTGCAGCTGGCCTTCGGCTGCACCACCTTCAGCTTGGTGGCCCACCGGGGCGGCTTCGCGGGCGTCCAGGGCACCTTCTGCATGGCCGCCTGGGGCTTCTGCTTCGCCCTCTCGGGCCTGGTGGTGGCCTGTGAGTTCACCCGGCTCCACAGCTGCTTGTACCTGTCCTGGGGCAACTTCACGGCAGCCTTCGCCATGCTGGCCACGCTGCTGTCGGCCACGGCCGCGGTCATCTACCCGCTGTACTTCACCCGGCTGGAGTGCCCGCCCGAGCCCGCGGGCTGCGTGGCCAGGGACTTCCGCCTGGCAGCCAGCGTCTTCGCCGCGCTCCTCTTCCTGGCCTACGCTGCGGAGGTGGCGCTGACCCGGGCCCGGCCGGGCCAGGTGGCCAGCTACATGGCCACGGTGTCAGGGCTCCTCAAGATCGTCCAGGCCTTCGTGGCCTGCATCATCTTTGGGGCACTGGTCTACGATAGCCGCTACGGGCGCTACATGGCCACCCAGTGGTGCGTGGCCGTCTACAGCCTGTGCTTCCTGGCCACGGTGGCCGTGGTGGTCCTGAGTGTGACGGGCCACACGGGGGGCCTGGGCTGCCCCTTTGACCGTCTGGTGGTCGTATACACCTTCCTGGCCGTGCTCCTCTACCTCAGCGCGGCGGTCATCTGGCCGGTCTTCTGTTTTGACCCCAAGTACGGTGAGCCTGGACGGCCCCCGGACTGCCCCAGAGGCAGCTGCTCCTGGGACAGCCAGCTGGTGGTGGCCACCTTCACCTACGTCAACCTGCTCCTCTATGTCGCCGACCTCGCCTACTCCCAGAGGATCCGCTTCGTGCCCCCACTGTAGGCACCTGCGCTCCCAGGGGCTCCCGGCGCCTCGCGGGCGACCCAGGTGAACCCAGGCCTCCGAGGAGCGAGCTGGAGGCAGGCGAGTGGGCGCTCCTGGACCCCCGGCAGCGAGGCTCGGGGAGGAGGGAGGGAAGACGGGGGGCAGGACACAGGCCAGGATCCTCCCCCAGGCAGCTCCCAGCCCCTCTCTGTCTCTTTCCTCTATCTCTCTGTCTTTGTTTCTCTCTCTCTGTATATCTCTACCTCTGGGTGTACCTCTCTCTCTCTCTCTCTCTCTCTCTCTCTCTCTTCATTCTCTGGCTTTTCCTGGCTCAGTGCTCCCCAGTGTAACACAAGAAGCTGGTGCCGTGACCCACTTTAGAGATGGGGACCCTGAGGCGAGGATTTTGGAGGCAGCCCTACGTGCCCATCAGTGTCTGGAGATCGCACCCAGGTTGTGTGACCTAAGTAGAGTTGGAAAGGGGACAATTCCCGGATGTGGGAAGGGGACGGAAAGGAGCCCAGGAAAGGGCCAGAGCGGGACCAGCGGAGAGGCAAGGGGAGCCGGCTCCCGTGGGCTTGAGGGGACAGTCCCCAGAGCGCTGGGAGGAGGCTTCTCGGCAGTGCCCTGCTGGCCTCAGTGCCAGCTCAAGTACAAGGAGCCGGGACTTGGGGCCCCACCTTGCCCACCTCCAAGGGGCTGTAACAAGGACAAGGGCCATGGTGCGGCCACACAGGGCAGCCTCCGCGGCACCACAATGAGCACAGAATGCTGGGGGGGAAGCTGGGCCCCAACCCAGGGAGGCAGTGTCTGCCAGGCACTCCGTGTCGCCCCCGCACCAGCTTCCACAGGGCCTGTGGTGGCCTCCAGAGAGGCTGGTCTGGAGCAGCCCCGACCCAGGGGGAGGGCCCAGCCCGGGCAGCCCCTGGGCCACAGCGCCTGGGCGCCGGCCGCTTCCTGGTTCTCCCAGGCCCACGGCCCCCATTCAAGTGTCTGTTCACCTGGCCATCGGCCACCAGAGCCCACCAGGACTGCCAGCCTCCACGCTCCAGCCAGCTTCTGCTCAGGAGCCCCGACGGGGCCACCCCAGGATGCCGCAGCCCCTTGGCCCATCGAGGAGTCTAGCAGGATATAAACACTAATGTTGACCTGCATACTGGCTCTGGTTAGCAGTCTCTGCCCAGGGGACAGTCCCAGACCATCCTTCTAATGTGAGTCGGAAGAAGGGTGGAAATTAGGCTTGACTGAGGGAGGAGTGGCTGTGGCAGAGGCCGAGCTGCCCCGGGCTGCGGGGCAGCCTATTGAGGAAGAAGCGGGCGGTGACCTCCTCCTCAGTGGGCATGGGGGCAGGGATGAGGGCGCGCCCAGGCGGGCCCCCCTCCCTCCCGGTGGGGCTCCGCACCAGCACTACCCGCACCGCTGCCAGGGGGCCCCTGGCACAGCCTTGGGCAAAGGGGCTGCTGTACCTGGGCAGCTTTTAGGCGTGGGTCCCTTGTGCTGGCGCCAGGCAGAGCGTGAGACAGGCGGCTGACACACTGACAAGGGTCGTTCACCTGGAGGGGCGGGTGTTAGGGCTCAACAGCCGACCCTCAAAGGGGCCAGAGGCCTCTGCGTCCTGGAGTGTCCTGATGGCCCCCACCGGCTGAGGGAGACTGGGGGCTAGAGGGTACATCTCCAGGTGACAAAGGAACATAGGTGCTGCATCCTTCCTAGCCCACAGGGAGGCCTGGACACCAGTCTTCCTTCCTTTTCTAGCCAAATTTCCAAAAGGTCGTCTGTCACCAACGCCCCAATTTCCTCACTGTCGAGTGGCCTTGTGCCCCCAGTGTGCCACCCATCCTAAATTTCAAAGGTCCTGAGGGGGAGACAGAGACGGGGAGGGGATCCAGGGCTCAACGTAAGCATGGCGGGAGTCCTTGAGGAGGGGCTCCTTGGGACGTTCTGCTGAGCATCATCCCTGGGGCCAGAGGACTTCCCCTTTTTGGAGGCGGGAGTTATTTGTTCTTATCACTTGAAAAGCAGTCCTTCCTGAAAGATGGGGTTCTGTCCTTTGATTATATACAGTCAGGCAAAACTCAGTGGGGCTGCTGGGGTTTCTGTGTATGGGTTTGAGTCTGGGCCACCCCAGATAGTCCACTTTGGACAAGGAGAGTGGAGTCAGGAGGCCGATGCTGGTGGGCGGGAGTCAGGGGCACTCAGGTCCTGAGGTAGGCGCCCCAGGGGGCCAGAGGTGTGGTGGGCATGGATCCTGGGGTCACCAATTAGGGAAGGGCTTCTTACCGTGGTTCCTTCCTCAGAGGGTAAGGGCTAAATGCCCAGAGGCAGATGTGCGGAGGAGGCCAGGAAGTCCACCCCGCACACATGGTCACCACACAGTGGTCTGAGGCCGTGATCGTTAGTCATCGCTCTGTCAACAAGAGCTCACAGCTCTGCTTCCAAGGCACGGACATCCGGGTAATGCTGAAGCCAGGTTTCAGAGCAGCCTGTCACCACTGAAGCTGCAGAACTGAAAAAAGAAAGCAGCTCACCTCTCCCCGGGGCTGGGGTCGAGAACGGATTGTCAATGATGATAACTTCTTTATTTATTCATTTCTTTGAGAAAGAGAAATCTGGGGAGAGGGGCAAAGAAAGAGAGAGGGAGAGAGAGAATCTTAAGCAGGCTCCAAGCTCAGTGCAGAACCCGATGACGGGTTCAAGCCCACGACCCCAGGATCATGAGCCACCCAGGTGCCCCAATGATGACTGCTTCTTGCTTTGCCCTTAACCCTGCTGCTGACTGAGACCCTGGACAATCCTGAAACCCAAGTGCATACTCAACTCAGATGCGTTCTGAGCACATCCTCAGGGGAAAAATGACTTTTCTTCCAAATGCAGGGCCAAAGATGTCAGGAAGTCCAATGGCCAGATGTCAGGAGACATGAGTGGGGGGAGGGGACACTGTGGTATCTCATCTTCTATTTACCGGTTGATCACCCACCAGGAGCACCTGTTCGGGGAGGCTTACATAGTAACAGGTCTATGGTGTCTGTCACACCTGAGCCCTTGAAAAGACTTGCAGAGAAAACCCGTTGGGAAGAAGAGGGTCTGGATCTCAGAGGGGATTGACCTAGACCTCCAGGTGCCCCTTAATTTTAAGAATCTGAAAACGCTTAGGCTATCCCTTCCAGGTTCCAAGCTTCTTGGTACAAGAAGCAATTTTCCCCTTTTTAAAAAGTTTATTTATTTTAAGGGGGGGGGGACAGGGGATCAGAAGGGGCTCTGTGCTGAGGGCAGAGAGCACCTGCCGGCCTGGAATGCATAAACTCCAAGATCATGACCTTAGCCTTAGTCAAACACTTAACCAGGTGCCCCTACAATAAACATATTTTATTTTATCTTTTTTTTTTCAATGTTTTATTTATTTCTAGGAGAGAGAGACAGCGTGAGCAGGGGAGGGTCAGAGAGAGAGGGAGTCACAGACTGAAACAGGCTCCAGGTTCTGAGTTGTCAGCACAGAGCCCGATGCGGAGCTCAAACCCGCAAACCGCAAGATCATGACCTGAGCCGAAGTTGGATACTTAACTAAGCCAGCCAGGTGCCCCTAAATAACCTCTACATCCAACGTGCAGTTTGAACGCATAACCCTGAGATCTAGAGTCACGTGCTCTGTAGACTGAGCTAGACAGGCGCCCCTCTTCTTGTTTTTATTTTTTTATTTATTTTATTTTTTTAATTTTTTTATATTTTTATTTATTTCTAGGAGAGAGACAGAGACAGCGTGAGCAGGGGAGGGTCAGAGAGAGAGGGAGTCACAGATTGAAACAGGCTCCAGGCTCTGAGCTGGCAGTCAGCACAGAGCCCGACGCGGGGCTTGAACCCACGAACCGCTAGATCGTGACCTAAGCGAAAGTCGGGCGCTTAACCGACTAAGCCACCCAGGCGCCCCATCAATAAACATATTTTAAAGAGACAAAATACATTCTCAAAATTGTGTTATGTTTTCAACGTTTCCATTTTGCAACTTGTTTTCAACTCTCCCACCTCCTCCCCCCCCAAAAAAAAAACCCCAAACACAAAAACAAACAAAAATCCGCGAGCAAACAAGGAAAAGTGTTAACAGTTGGGCTTCTCCAAACAGGAGGATCCAGCAGCGGCGACCAGCGGCCGCGCGACGGAGGCCACCAGCCTGGGATCCTGGGGGCCACCCAGGCCCCACGCGCAGTCGCGGGCGCGCGGACCCGGCGCGCGGGGAGGCCCTGCGGACGCGGGGGGGGGGGGCGTCAGGGGGGCGTGGGCGCGGGGCGAGCGGATGATGCAACCGCCCCTTGGCACCTCCCGCGCCCCTCGATTGGCCGGCGTCTGGCGGCCGCGCTGCCGATTGGCTGCGGCGGCGGAGGCGGGGCCGGCGGGGCCTGGGTGCCGCGTGGCGGGCGCGGCTCTGGGGATCCCGCCGACCCGAGCGGGGTGACTGGGTGAGTGGGCGCAGGGCTGGAGTCCGGCGGGGGCGGCGGTGCGGTGGGGGGGTGCGCATCCGCTCACCGGCTCGAGAAAGGGGAGGGGAAGCTCTGACGTGGGGGGCGTCCGGCCCGACCCGTCGCCCCCCGCCCGCTCTCCGACCCCTTCCGGAGGCTGGCGCGCCCCCCCCCCCAGTCTCCTCGGTCCGAGACCCGCAGGGGCAGGTCGGAGAGGGCACTGCTGGGGAGGGAGACTGGCGCAGTTGACCACGGCGGGGCTGTCGGGCAGAGAGGGGCCCGCTGGATGGGGGCGCCCGCTGGGATGGGGGGCGGGGGGAGATGGGCGCAGGGCCGGCGGCCAGGCCTGCCGCTGCACACCCAAGTTCTTGCTCTGGCTCTTGCCCCGTCTCGCCCGCAGTTGCCCCTGCAGAGCCGGTGCCAGCTGCGAGGGCTGTGGGCGGGGCCTCCGTCCAGCATGAGCGTGGGCTTTATCGGGGCGGGCCAGCTGGCCTTCGCCTTGGCCAAGGGCTTCACAGCAGCAGGTAGGCTCTGCAGCCCCAGGGCGTGGGCTGGGAAAGGGCCGGCCCCTTATGCGGGGGCGGGTGAAGGCAGGGGCTTGAGTCCGGTGCGAAGTGGCAGCCTTGGGATGTCTGGGGTGACCCAGGGGTGGCTGTTTTACTCTGAGTGCTGGGATTCCCATTTTCCTTCCTGGGAATGGGAGGGAGGGAGGCCAGGCCAGGCCCTGAGGCAGGAATCTGTTACCCACAGGGATCCTGGCTGCCCACAAGATAATGGCCAGCTCCCCAGACATGGACCTGACCACGGTTTCTGCCCTCAGGGTAGGTGCAGGGGGCAGGGGGACAGGAAGGCAGTCCCTGAAGAGGCTAGTCAGTGTGTCTGGGGGGAGTGTGTGATAGCCTTGACCCTAAGGGCCAGGGGTAGAGGCCCCTGGGTGGAGCATCTCACAGACCCCCACCTCCTGGCCTGCTGATCACTCCTCTTAGCTCTTGGGACCCCAGTGACAGGCACGTGTGTAGCTAGTGGGGAGGGTGTGCTGGTCTCGAATGGGGTTCTTCAAAGAGCCTCCATAGGGGCTGTGGGGGTCACAGTGTGAGGGCCAGGTCACACACATCTGGGGACTGAATACAGTTGGCTCACCACAGCTGAACTAGGCTCCAGATCCAAGGGCGCGGCATGCTCCGGGCTGGACACTTCCCATCCTGACGCCTGGGGACGGCGGCCTAAGGCAGGGTGGATCAGGGCTGTAGCATGGATGCAGCACCCCTCTTCTGTTGGCAAAAGGGACATATTCCAGAGCAGAGTGTCTCTCCCACTCCTCGCCCTGAGCCCTGCCCGCTGGCCGTCCGCACCTTCAGCCGCCCCTGTGCTGAGCTCCACGTGGGGCTCTCGGCTCGGGGAGGGTGCTGGGGGGACCGGCCAGTCCCGGGCCCAGGCTGAGCCCATGTTGGCGCTCCCTGCAGAAGATGGGCGTGAACCTGACACCTCACAACAAGGAGACGGTGCGGCACAGCGATGTGCTCTTCCTGGCCGTGAAGCCACACATCATCCCCTTTATCCTGGACGAGATTGGTCCCGACATTGAAGATCGCCACATTGTGGTGTCCTGTGCAGCAGGGGTCACCATCAGCTCCATCGAGAAGGTGGGCGCTGTGAGTCCCGGCCAGTGGGATCTGAAGAGTGGGTGGCAATGTATGCTGTCAGGAGCTCTGGGCAGTGGCCCAGCCCACAGGCGAGAGGTCGGGGAACGGTCAGTTGCTGAGTGCGTTCACCTTCGTGCCCGGCACGTCCTGCTGGGCAAGGGGCATGATGGACCCACAGCCGGTTTCTCCTCCAGAAGCTGACAGCGTTCCAGCCAGCCCCCAAGGTCATCCGCTGCATGACCAACACACCTGTGGTGGTGCGGGAGGGGGCCACCGTGTACGCCACGGGCACCCACGCGCTGGTGGAGGACGGGCGGCTCCTGGAGCAGCTCATGAGCAGCGTGGGCTTCTGCACGGAAGTGGAGGAGGACCTGATTGATGCGGTCACGGGGCTCAGTGGCAGCGGCCCAGCCTATGTGAGGCCTGGGGACAGGGGGGCAGCTGGTGGCGGCGGGCAGTGCCCAGGACCTCAGGCACATCCTCCATCCTCCTCCCTGCTCTGGCTGCTGTGGACAGAGCTGCGGGGCCCGCCATTGCCTGGAGGAGGAGGAGGAGGAGGAAAGGCCTAGGGCGGTGACTCAGGCGCCTTCTCCCCGCAGGCATTCACAGCCCTGGAGGCCCTGGCCGATGGGGGCGTGAAGATGGGGCTCCCGCGGCGCCTGGCCATCCGCCTCGGGGCCCAGGCTCTGCTGGTCAGTGTTTCTCTTGATCCTTTGCTGGGGCCACTCCTCGCCAGGCCTGATGCCGTCGCGCCGGGGCGGGTGGGCGGAGAGTCGGTGCGCGGGGGCCGGGCCGGGGCGGGGGTGCCCCTGCAGCAGCCAGCTGTCTCTCTGGCTGTAGGGAGCCTCCAAGATGCTCCTGGACTCGGAAAAGCACCCCGGCCAGCTCAAGGACAACGTCTGCTCTCCCGGTGGCGCCACCATCCACGCCTTGCACGTGCTGGAGAGTGGGGGGTTCCGCTCGCTCCTCATTGATGCCGTGGAGGCCTCCTGCATCCGCACACGGTGGGCCCCCGCCCCCGCCTCACGCGCGGCTCAGCCGCGCTCAGCACATGTATATCAGGGCCGGGGGCGGGGGCGGGGGGAGCGGTGCCCCAGGGGGAAGGCTTGCCGCGCCCCTTGCCATCCTTTGCCCTGTGAGGATGGGCGCCCTCAGTGCCCGCACTCTGCTCTCTACGTAGCCTCCCCACTGCAGCCCTCAGATGCGGGGATCGTCCAAGCCGGGGAGACAGGCCGGGGGAACCTGAGGAGATCTCTGTGGGCCTGATAACACCTTTCTCCCCACGCTCCGCCTCCTGGGGAGATTAAGCGAGCTGGACAGGGGATAGGCCCAGGACGCGCCGCCGCAGCAGCTCGGTGAACGCAGGAAAAGTATCAGAGAGGAGGGCGGCAGGGTTGCTAACTTGGCTTGGAGCCGTTGACCCGAGCCCAGGTCCGCCGGATGGACAGGCGTCCCTCTCACGTCCCTGCCTGGCCGTGGCCGAAACCCAGAACTTCTCCGGGCGCCACAACAGGACGGAGCTGGGAAGCCGTGACTCCCGCCCCAGGCACCAGCCTTCGGGGGATACAGACGAGGCACCTGTCGCATGCCCGCGGCACCATGGGCCGGGGTCTGGGGGCTGCTAGTGGAGCCGGCGACCCTGAGCTGATCTGAAGGAGGGAGACAGAGGGCCACGTGGGGGAGGGGTGGCTGGCGGAGGGAACCGCGGGTGCAAAGCCTCGAGATGGGCGTGACTGCCCAGCAGTGCCCGGGGCGGCAGGTGCTCCCTCTTCCCGGTGGACAGTCGGGCTCAGGAGGGAGGCGGAGCCCGGGACCAGCCCTCCCCACTGCCTCCTCAGGGAGCTGCAGTCCATGGCTGACCGGGAGAAGGTCTCGCCAGCCTCCATCAAGAAGACGGTCTTGGACAAGGTGAAGCTGGAGTCTGCCCCAGGGCCCTCACTGGCCCCTTCCGGCCACTTCCAGCTGCCGCCCCACAGCCTGGCCCCGGCGGGCAAGAAGAACTGAGGTGTCGGACATGCCCGCACGCCATTCTCCACTTTCTCTTCCCTCCTGGGCTTGGACCCCCAGCACCTGGTGTTCTTAGCCCCAGGCCACACGGTGTCACCACAGCGGCCCGCTGCCCACGACTCTGGTCAACTCGGGATCAGCTGGGGCTGTAACCAGGGAGGGGTTAGCTTCCCAGTGGGGGTCTCCACAGTCCCTGCGGGCTGCTTCTCCAGAACAGAGATGGGTTCTCCCACCTCAGCCCACCCCTTCCTTTGCCCCCAAACCAGGTCAGGACCACTGCCTCTGGAGCTCAGGCGGCCCATGCTCAGCTGGCTTGGGGCCTGGCCCCTTGCTGAGTACAAAGGTCAAGTTCCCCCTGCACCCCTACCCCATGAAGGCCCAGCCAAGGAGGGAACCCCATCCCACTCCTCCCCCTTCCTCAGCCTCCACGGGGGGGACACCTCGTCCCCGGTGTGACAGGGACCAGAGGGTTCAGTCCAGGGGACAGGGCCACGGCTGCCAAGGGCCCCTTGTCTCCGTTTGGCATTTGAGCAAAGGGCTCCTCCGATAGTCCCCACCGCCCAGGCCCCTGTCTCCCATTCCTGACCTAACTTACAAGCCTGTCCCTTCTCTCTCCGACCCTTTAGGTTAAATACATTGGTTTCCAAGTTGGTGCCTTGATTCCAGCTCTGTCACCATGTGTGGAGGGAAGGCCCTGCTGCCCTAGACGGTCCTTGTTGGGCGTATCTCAGGCCACCAGCAGCCCACGGGGCCACGGCATTCTGGCTCGGCGGGGGGGTGGGGGGGTCACTGAGTCCCCTAGTCAGCAGAGGTGGAGGGACCTTCTGGGGAAGAGTGTCCTGCTTTGGGGCCCAGCCACAAGGGGTGTGACCAGAAGCCGGCACCGCCGCCGGGCTCGGTGGGCTCTGCTCTGGGAGGGGCGCCAGCCTCTGCAGCCTCCACACCTCCCAGCGGGGCGGAGGCAGCACAGGGCCAGGTGAGGAAGGAGCCCCCCGCGGAGAGATGTCGGGCTCTCCAGAGAAACAGAACCAGTGGCCGTGGATACATCTGGCCCTGGAATACCTGTGGGTCCCTCCTAAGGTGTGAGCCCCAGCATAGGCCCCGGCCCTGTGTGCGCAGGGGTGGGCAGTGAGCACCCGGGATCACCCCCTCCCTGGCAGAACCTTGGCACCCTCCCCCTGGGAAGAGATGTTCCCAGAAGCAGTGGTGCCACAGGCCTGCCCTGGACCTAAGCTGGTCCCCAGCGAATCCCTTCAAGTCAAGGCCAGTCTCACCGGGCATCTGCTGTGTGCTAGACACCGGCCAATAAGGCCAGGGGGCACGCTGCCCCCCCGCCACATGCTGTGGGTCTCAGGGAAGTGAGCAGGTAGGTCTGAAGTGGGGAAGAGGCACCTCGTGGCTTCGGGGAAGCCTGGGGTCCAGACCAGCTTTGCAGGGAGGCTTTATTCCGGCCCGCAACCAACCGACCTGCTGGGTTTCAGCAGGCGGGACCCGTGAGCCTTCGAGCTGAGGTTCCCAACCAAGTCAGAGTTCCACAGATGGGAAAGCCGGGAAGGCAGAGGAGCCTGGGGAAGGGGCGTGGCCTGGGCAGGAAGGCGGCTGAGGCTGCCGAGGCCCGGGGTCCCGTGTGGACGGCCCTCCAGGGAAGCCACTGTATGCATGAGCACACCGTGGAGGGGAGCAGGCACGTGTTCTAATGGGTTCAGAGCAGGCCAAGGAGGGGGGTGGGCCTCGAGGGCCAGGGGCCCACAGATGCCAGGCAGGAAGCACTGCAATCCTACCATCTGGAGGAGCCTCGACAGGGGTCTCACTGGGTGGGGGTCAGCTCGGCATGCCTTCCTGGCCCCGTTGCTGCTGGCTCTGACACCTGCGACACCCCGGACCTCCCCAGATGCGGCAGAGGCTGGAATGAATTTACTGTCCTTTGCCCAATGGGCCAGGTGAGCCCTGGTGGAAGAGCCAGCTCCCTCTGCTTGATCCGGCTTCTGCCTCAGTTTCCTAATTGGAACCGCCTGCCCGGATGGGGCCTTTGACCTGCTTCTCTCTGCCAGTCCTTTCCTGTCCAGCTGGGCTCAGGCTCCAGAACAAACAGGTCAGCAGCCCTTGGCCAGACAGAGAAGGGAGCTGTCCATCCTAGGAGGGTCCTGGCACGGGCCCACCTCCCTACCTGGACACCAGCGGGGGGACAGCCGGTGGTCAGTCTGGGTTTGGATGCCAGCCACATCCCAAATGCCCCGGGCCTCCTTGAAGTGTCAGGTTGGGGGCTGCTGAACTCCAAAATAAGCCAGTGGAGTCCCAAGATCAGCCCATGGAGAGTTCAACCTGAAGGGGGAGCTGTGGGGTGGAGGACATCTGGGGGAGGGGAGGGGGGGGGCAGGAGGCCAGTATCCAGCTGCAGCAGGAAGCAATGCTCTGAGGCCCGGCCAGGACAGCCCAGGGAGCCGGGTCTAAGCCGCCCTTAGGGCAGCTCTGGGAGCTGGTCAAGGTGGTGTGCGTGCACCAGCAGGGACACTGAAACCCGGGCCTGTCTCCTCGCAGTATCACTCCCCGGCAAGGCCGTAGTGCCGTTCCTGCGGGACAAATGTCCTGGGCCGTGGCTGGGAGTCAGCCAGACTCCGACAGGTGAGACCAACCACGCACTCTCTTGGGCCCTCCAGCTGGACCCTGATACGGGTGCCGGGGGCTTGGCTCTCTTGATTGTTCAACATGGCATCTCCCCTTCCTCGGTGGCCTCCCCCACATGCTACCTGTTACTCTGCATGTGGTCAGGACACTGTCCACATCCTCTCCCCACCCCCTGAAGGGGGGGGGCAGCAGAGGAGCCTGGGTTGTCCCCTGGAGCACTCACCTCCCCAAGGCCTCAGAGCTGCCCTGCATCACATGTCCAGAGGGCGGATCTTAGGGCCAGGGCCATCCCTTTGTAGGAAGCATCCCTAACGTCCACACTCACTGGCCTCTAGGCGAGTTCGGCCCCGACTCACTTCCCTAGACCTCTCTGATGGCCCTGGGTGGGTGTACCCCCATGCCTGCTTGTCCCCTCTTCCCAGCTGGAAGAGGTGGCTGCGTCTGTCCCCAGTGGGGAGGAGGGGCGGACTCCTTGCTAGTTTGGTGAGAAGGAGCAGAGCAGCGAATGACTGATAAATCAGCCTCTCAGTCACCTCCCACGTATAAATGGCAGCCAGACTCCATCCTGTGAGGACCAAGGAGTCAGGGGTGGGTAACAGCCAGTGAGCTTCCACTCATGATGGCCCCCAGGGCCAATCACCTGTGTTTCCTGAGGGCATCATGGTTCTGGCTTGAGCTAGGTAGCACCAAGTCAACCCCATGTGGCCTGCCAGGGCCCTGCCGTGTGGACTGGCTCTTGAGGCCCAGGGGTAGCTCAGACCCCACATCGCTGCCAAGTGGGCACAGAACAGGGCTGACATCTGCTGGTGAGGAGGCTGGAGGAGCTGGAGCGCACAGGGCTGCATCCTTGCCCTCGGGGGCAAGCCTTTATTCTGTAGATTGAGTTGACTTTAAGTCACACCCCTGGGGCGTCTGGCTCGCTTCGTCAGTACAACACGCAATCTTGGGGTTGTGAGTTCGAGCTCCACGTCAGGTGCAAAGATTAAAATTAAAATCTCAAGGCCCTGGAGCATGTGAGATTCCGGCCACACCCAGTACAATGTCCCACCCTTAAAGTGCAGCTTGGGATAAGACAACCACACCCAAGCCGACAAAGCAGGTGACGAGGCACTGTGGGATTTGGAGGCAGGCAGGGGCTGCTGCGGGTGCCCTTACGCCCCCCGCTTTGGGGCATCTCTGGGTGGCCTTTATCAGTCAGTGGCACTGAGTTCCCATGAAGACCCCGCCGCCCGTCCCTCACTCCTCCCTCTGCCAGCTCATCTGAGTCCCGCTGACCTGCCTGGCAGGCGAGTCTCCCTTCCTGACTTCACACCTGAGAAGGGAAATCCAGAACTTGGAAGTAGAAACTGGATCCCTCCAGTGCCCCCTCTTGCCCCGGGTTGCCTCGTTCTCTGGGAATTTCGAACGGCAGCGAGAAGTCCTTACAGAAAAGGCAGGAGCCGACACGGATTCATGTGAACTGAGCTCCAGGCAGATGTGGATCCAACGGGAAACACATGTTTACGGCGCCCCCACTCCTGAGCCGCCTGAGTGTCCTCACTCCACGCATAAGCTCGGGGCGTTGGGCGAGGCCACGCCACCCTCCCCCGCAGGGTCTTGGACCAGACTGTGGGGTCCCCTGTAAACCAGGCCACGGCCACCCGGCAGGGCTGAGGTCGGCTCGCCGTGAGGCGAGGTCATGCCTGCCAGTGCCCGCCGGGCAGCACGGAAGCGCCGCGAGGACCCCCCCCCCGGCGATGCCCAGGGACCGCAGGTCCGCGCGGGTCCCTTGGGTCAGGAAGGCGCCGTGGGGGCGGGGAAGGTTTGCCCACGAGGCTTCCCGCTCGAAGGCCGGGGCCTGGCCCGCGAGACCCCGCCGGGGCAGGACGGCGGCGGCGGCTTCGCCGGAGCGAGAGCGCCCGGCGCGCAGGCGCAGTGCAGGCGCGTCCCGCCGCCGCCGCCGCCGCCGCCGCCGCCGCCGCTCCTTCCCCTTTAAGCCCCGGCCGGCCGCGTCGCCGCTTCATGAATGGAGCCCACGTGACCAAACATCATGTGACGTCTGTGGAGCGGCGGCGGCGGTGGCGGCGGCGGCGGCGGCGGCGGCGGATCCCGAGCCTGATCCGGCCCGGCCTTCCCAGCGCGCTCGGCCCGGCCCGCGCAGGCGGCGAGCCCCCACCCCGGGCCCGGAGCCCCCGCGCGGCCTCGGAGCGCCCCCCGCCCCGCCCGCCCCGGCCTCGGCCCGCCCGGGCCCGCAGTGTGGTGGGTGAGTGCGGCGGCGGGCCGGGCGGGGGGCTCCGGGCCCGGGGTGGGGGCGGGCGGGCGGGGCCGCGGCTCCTCCGGGAGCGCCGGGGGGCGGCGCGGGCCGCGCGCTCCCGGATTCGGGTTTGCCCCGCGCCCTGCAGGCGGCCGGTGCCTCGATTTCCCCGCGGCTCGGAAGCAGCTCCCGGCCCTCGCGCCGGGGGTGCCGGGGGTGGGCCGCGGGGGCCGGAGGAGGGCGGGGCGGGGCGTAACGCGGGGCTCGCTCGGCGGAGCCCGTGGCGTCCCGGTGGGAGGGGCGGCCGTGGTGGCGGGAGGAAAGGGTGGGGTCGAGCGGGGCGCCTCGGGCTCCGCGGAAGAGCCTCTGGGCCTTGGCTCTAGCTGCTGATTCATCAGGTGTCTGTGTCCGTCTGCCCGGGCGCGGGGGTCCCCGGCGGGCCGGGGGGAGGGGGAGGCACGTGGCGGGGCCGGGAAGACCCCGCTCGCGCCGGCTTCGCTCCGTCACACGCGTGCCAGAGCCCAGAGAGAGACTTGCTGAGTCATCAGCATGAGGTCACTCGGTGCTCATTCTGATGTCTGGGGGAGATCTGAACAAGGGGCCTGGGGTCTAAGGGGCCGGGAGATAAGCGCAGGAGGGAAACTGGGGAAAGGCCCAGGCCCGGGCACTGGGGCACCGGTTCAAGTTTGGGCTGGGATGCGAGTTGAAGGAGGAGTGGGCGAGGAGACGGTGGAGGGGCCTCGGGGCAGGTTTTCTTCCCCCGGCAGAGTGTGAAGCCCCCGGCCTGCCGTCCCCTCCCTCCCCCTCCCCTCCCAGGCATTCTCTTCTCAGGCAGCTGGTCCCTGACCAGCTCTGGGACAGTTCCCCAAACTGGGAAATAGTTCTCTGAGTGAGAGGAGGGGAGGAGCTTAGGGGGGCCGTGCTTGCCAGGCTGGGAAGCAGGCTTTCCCTGTGACTGGTCTGGTTGGCTAGGCTGGGCAGCCCCTGGGCGGGGAAGACACGGATGCACTCTGGCCAGAGAGGGAGTCAGTAGGAGAAAGAGGGCTGCCTTTACTCAGGTCCTGGAGGGCAGTGGACAGGCCGGGGGCAAACAGGTGCAGCTGTACCAGGAAACTGCCAATGAGAGGAAGCAGCAGGACTTTGACACCTGGGGAGTGAGGTGGCTGGTGAGCAGGCCCTGCCCCTTTGCACAGCCTGGCCTTGGGGTTTGGGTCAAGGCTGCAGGTGGTGGCAGCTTTGAGGGTGCCTAGCCTTTGGGACACGACAGGCGGGCTGGCGTGGAAGGCATAGAGTGGAAGAATGTGGTTCCCAGTCACCCCAAAGTTGTCCTACTTGAGACTGGGGCTCAGTGTCGAGAAGGTGTTAGTGAAGATTGTGGCCCTGATGGGTGCCGGGCCTCTTGTGGAGGACAGCCTAAGGGTGGTGTGGCCTGGGCTGCCTTTCCTGAATGTATGGGTGCTTCCCGGCCTCCAGGGCTGGGGGCGTTTTGTCTAGATCAGAGCTGAACCTAGGGATTCATGGCTAGGTCGGGCCGCCTTGTGGTTTGTCTTCAGGGATCCCCCCTGCCCCTAACACAGACACACACACACACACACACACACTTAGCCTTAGGCTTATAGATGCCAGATGTGTAACAGTTCAGCTGATCTTTTGGCTGGAATTTCTTCCTCCCTTAGGAAAATGCAGAGTCCTGAAGGGGTATTTCTGTAAGTCTTGTCATTTATTTATTCTGAGGTGGAAATGAAGTTTGAAACATTTTTCAGAATGGCTTTCTGTGGCTGAGGGATTTGGGAGGAGGTGGTTCCGAAGGGCAGGGTGGGAGTAAGGCTAGGCTAGGTTGGGGCCACGCCTCTTGGGGACATTTGGTCACTCGAGTTTGCAGGTCATCAAAGCCCGCAGGGGCAGGCTGCCTTGGCTTCTGCCCAGTGTCCACATTCTAGAGTCTGGGCCCAGGTAAAGGGGACGGAGTTCCCTTCCCAGCCGGCTCTCAGCCTGAGTAGGTGGCCCAGGGACCTTGGTGGTTTCAGGCCCTGGGGACTGCCAGTGTCTTCTCCCCAAGGTGGCTCAGCCTGAGGGGGCACAGAGCCGGGAAGGATGACTGGGCCCCAGCTCTGGACCGGCCCCTCAGAGGGGAAGAGAGGAAGCTGCTCCTCAGTCCTGTCTCTGAGATGCTCCGCATCTGGCTTCTAGAGGTGCCCTCAGCCATCCCTAGCCATCCATCCCCAAAGGCTATCTCGGTCACATCTGTGTGTGTCCCCGGTGGACAGAGGCCAGGCCGAGGGACCGAGGCCCCAGGCTCTGCAGAGGCCCACCCCTCCCCCGCCGCTTGCACACGTACCCTGCACCTTTGATTGGGAGGCGAGCGGCTGCGCTTGTGCTGAGTTCAGGCCTTCTGCGGAGGGCGAAATCTGTCGAGGAGGCACATTTCAGCTCCCAGCCGCCACGCTCGGCACTTTTCTGTGTGATCTCTTCAGGAAGTCACCGTCGTGCTCAGCATGCGGAGGGGAGGGAGGATGGCGAGTGGGAAAAGCTGGTGGCTGGTGTTTTCCTTTAGGCTGACAGTGGTTGGGCCCAGGGCAGTGTCCCTGCACCCCGACTCCGACTCCAGTCGGGGGTGGGGGGGAGCCCCTCCAACTCTGCCATGAGGGCCTGGCCTCCAGGGCGTCTTTGGGGCCCTGAGGACCCTCTGACCTCCACTCCTATCTTCTGCAACCCCTGCCCTGGAACATCCATGGGACACCAGCCTCAGGGCCTGCCCGGGAGCCTGGAGTGGCCTGGCAGTGATGAGGCACCTCCTGGGGCCAGGCTGGGTGAGGGGGGGGCTCTACCCTGGAGCCGACTGCACCTCCACGCCCCTCCCCGCCCAGGCTTTATCTCCCCAGTGGGCAAGGGATCTCTCCTGCAGCAGGGAGACCGCGGTGCCTCTTAGTCCTTCAGCCGTGCACCTCTTTCTGTGTCTGACCTGGGGAGCAGGGCTAGGGGTGGAGTGGGGGGCTGGCTGAGCCAGAATTTCCAGGGTTAGGTGCACAGAAGTGTCCTTGGTGGGATTTTAGGAAGCAGAAAGTGAGGGCAGAGTATGGGAGGGGCGCCTGAGTGGGTGCCGGGGGGCCCTTCGGTCCGGTCCCCCAGCCCTCTTGTTCTTGTCCCCTGCGCTGTGGGCAGTGACCCGGGGGGGGGGCTGAGGGGGCCGAGCAGGTGGCTAACCGGGCACTCTGATGAAATGGCCAGGGCAGGGTGGGGCAGGGGCGCAGGATGCTGCAATCCGAAGCCACAGGAAGGTTGCCCCATCGGCAGCAGGGGGTGGGCTGAGTCGGGCCCTTGCCGCAGGGCCTGCCACCCGCAGGGCTTGGGGGCTCCCACCAGTGCTGGGAAGAGGTGAGCTCGGCAGAGTGAAAAGTCTGTGGGAGAATCAGGACTCTCCGGCATCTTTCTCTTGGCCTGAGTCCCCACAGGCTCCTAAGCCTTGGTGGGGTCAGGGCCAGCTGAGGGGAGGTGGCTGTAGGGAGGGTGGCCGGAGTACACACGTGCAGGGTCGCTGGCCCCACCTGCCATTGGCCAGGCTGGCCTTTCTGGGCCAGCAGTGCTCTGCTCGGGCTGCGGGTCCCCTGGGGCCGTGTTGGCTGGCAGCCTCGGGGAGTGCCAGGCCAGGCCAGGCCGGTGAGGGAGCGGGAGCGGGAGTGATGTGCTGAGTCAGCATGACTCGCCAGGAACAGCCAGGCTCTGGGGCGCACACTGGGGTTATTTTTAAAGCTCCCGGCTTCCTTCCAGGCTGGCCCCTCCTGTATCCCTCTCTTCTCTTCCCAAGCCCCTTTCCTGCATCAGACCCACTGGGTTCTCTAGGGACAGAGAGACAAGGAACAGCCTGGCCAAAGGGTGGCAGGTGGTCCTCAGGGCCAGGTATTGGGAATGGTCAGGTGAGAGGCGGGCTGGGGGGCTGGCTCTCTCCCCCAGGCTCTATCTGGACTGGGGAGGGAAAGAGGGGCGTTCTCCAGGGTCCTGACCTCTGCTCCCTGTCTCGCAGAGTGCCTGCGTGCTGTGCCCCCGGGTTATGACGACCCCCAACAAAGGAAACAAGGCCTTGAAGGTGAGCGATGGGGAAGACGGACTCTTGAGGTGGGGGTGGCGCCGGGGTGGGCGGTCCCCGCTCAGCCCTGAGCTCCCCCGCGGTCCTGCCCCCAGGTGAAGCGGGAGCCCGGTGAGAATGGCACCAGCCTGACTGACGAGGAGCTGGTGACCATGTCCGTGCGGGAGCTGAACCAGCACCTGCGGGGCCTGTCCAAGGAGGAGATCATCCAGCTGAAGCAGCGCCGGCGCACGCTTAAGAACCGCGGCTACGCCGCCAGCTGCCGCGTGAAGCGGGTGACCCAGAAGGAGGAGCTGGAGAAGCAGAAGGCGGAGCTGCAGCAGGAGGTGGAGAAGCTGGCCTCGGAGAATGCCAGCATGAAGCTGGAGCTCGACGCGCTGCGCTCCAAGTACGAGGCCCTGCAGAACTTCGCCAGGACGGTGGCCCGCAGCCCCGTGGCACCGGCCCGGGGCCCCCTCGCAGCCGGCTTGGGGCCCCTCGTCCCTGGCAAGGTGGCTGCCACCAGCGTCATCACGATAGTAAAGTCCAAGACGGATGCCCGATCGTAGGGACGCGCGCTTGCCGGGCGGGTCTGCAGGGGGCCGTTAGGCGCACGGCGAGTTTGGCAGCCCTGTCCCCTTCCTCCTCTCCTCCTCTCCCTCTCCCACCTCCTTCCTTCCCTGCAAAGCACAACCTGCACCCCGGGGGCGCCGGGCTGAGCCCCTTTGATCTCGTCGTTGTCATCGTGTGTTTTGTACGTTGGGATTGGTCAGTTCGGCGGTGACGTGGGGTTGCCTTGGCCCCCTTTGTACCAAGGCTGTGCAGGCTTGGAGTCCAGAGTTGGCCCTGTGGCAACAGAGAAAGATTGAATGAGCTCTCTGGGGCTCACGTGCCTGAGCAGGGAGGGCTCCAAGGCAGGAGGGGCCGCTGTCCGCTCCTGGGTGGCCCACAGGCCCCAACTGCCGCTGCCTGGCAGGGGGCTGTGATTCACTCTCAGCGTGGCCAGCAGGCATAGACGAGCTCTGCTCCTAAGAGTAGGGTGTCCTTGAGGGCCCTGGATGGGCGGGCCGCCAGCCTGGGCGCTACGGCCTCTGGGAGGGACGGGGCGTTATGTGGCTTTGGGCCAGGGCCCACGGCACTCGAGCCTGACGCATTGCACTGAACAAGACCAAATCACTGGTTGTGAACATTCGTGAAGGGTGTGTCCAGTGTCCTGCCACGGGCCCCGTGTCACTGTTTACATGACCTGTCTGTGTGGTTACGTGGCCCTTTATTTAAAAGAGAGGAGTTCCTTTTACGAAAGTTATTAAATTATATGTTTAAAAGCTAAAGAAAAAAAGAGCTGCAGAGTATTTATAAAACTGTCTTTTTAAAAAAAAAACAAAACAAGCAAGAACATTTGACCATATATACGGAAAAGGGAAGAAAGTATAATAGAAACTTTGCTTAGTTTAACAAAAGAAAAAAAACAAACAAAAAAAATCCCTTTCTTGTAAACTTATGGACAAGTCTTTGTGGCCGTTGGAGTTTAGTTTTTATATACACAGAGTTATCAGACGTTATTTATAAAACTTAGTTTTAAAAAAGACAAAAAAGAAAAAAAAGAAGAGCCAAGCCGTGGGCGGCCGCGAGGCGCGTCCTGGCGCCCTCTTTGCTATCTCTTTTGCAATTGTACCGAAAGTGACTTACTCCTTTGCCCTTCCTGCTTCCGTCTCTTGCCGGTGCCGTGGTGATGTCCGTGCCTGGTGAGGTCTTGTGCAGCGTCACGTGCTGGTGCTTCTGGTGACCTTTGACCTGTGTGCGTCCCTTCTCGTGTCTGTTATTCCCGTGTTTGTTTTTTGCATTTGGTTGTGTTCTTGCTTCTGCCAGCTTGCCGGGCCCCGGACCGGGGGCGCCGGGCGGCTCCTGCTCCCGCAGAGCGTGGGGTCCGCCCCGCAGCCCAGACCCCCCGCCCCCCGCCTCGGCGCCTGAGCCGGGACCCCGGAGGAGCAGCGCCAGTGCTCTGTCGCTCCCACGCCCTGCACAGCCTTGGCTTTGCATGTGTGTCCTAGGCGTGGGCTGATCCGGCGGCAGGGAAGGGGCGACGGGGGGGCCATCCCAGAGGGAGGTGCCCCCCGCCCCCGGCCAGGGGCAGCAGGTTTGCAGGGACCAAGGAGTCACTAGGGCGCCCCCAGGTGTCTTCCTTCTGGCCTCTGGCCAACATGCTGGGGCTCCGGCCTCCAAGCCCAGCTTTGCCCCCGTGGGTTTCACGAGGGCCTCGTCAGGGGACCCGCGGAGCCCCCGTGTCCTGGCGGTGCTGCCACGCGGGGCCCTGGAGCTTCCCGGGCAAAACCAGGTGGTTTGAGGGCTCCCCTGGGGCGGCCCCTTCACCCCGCTGCGGGCCTGCTGGGCTCTCCACCCAGGCCAGACACGGGCTGCAGGGTCCAGGTCCTCTCTCTCCCCTCGCCCTGCCTGGGCTCCGGCTCTCGCCTCCCTCTGGGATCTGTGTCTTCCAGGGACGCGCTGGTCAGCTCGAGGGGCCATGCCCTCCGGGGCCGAGCCTACCCCCCCCCCCCCGTGGCCCCTCGGCAGAGGCAGCCGGTCTTCCAGCCCGGGCTGGGGAGCTCCTCGTGGGCCGCCGTGGTGCCTGCCGTCAAGAGGCTGCTGCCCCGTCTCCGGCCACCTGGGCCTTGGCTTCTCTGGGACCCCTGGGCCCCCGGGAAGCACGCCGGTGTGCCTCGCGGGCTGCAGGCAGGACTTCATCCCGGAGTCCAGCCCTGTGTGCCCAGGGGTGGGAGCAGGGGCGCGCTGTCGGCCCCCGTTGTGGTAACGGGCCTCTCTCGGCCCTAGAGGCTCAGGCGTGCCCGCGTACCCAGGCGGGCCTGCAGCGGAGGCTTTGACCGTTGACTCTCAATACTTAGTGGCTCCCTGCCCCTCCTCACTGTCTGGCTTTGTCTGCCTAGGGTCTAGATGAAAGTGGTGGATGTTGGTTGTAGCAGTAGTGAGTTGGAATCTCGTCGTAAGACTCCCTGAAGAGGGGTCATGTCCTTGCTCTCCGCAACCGTTCACGGCCCCGACGCTTTCGTCCTTGCCGGGAGGTAGCTGTCCATCCGCCAGGCTGGAGACCTGGAGAGGAGAGAAGCGAGGTGGGTTCGGAAGTCCAGAGGCGGGTTGGAGGGTGGGCACAGGTGGATCAGAAATTGCAGGTCCTTGGGCTAGGTAATAGAAGAAGCTTCTGGAATTAATGAGGACGTGCTTCCCCTCAGAGTTTTTGGATTTGGAGCAAGTGTCCCTTGGGTCTGGGAGTACATCCTGTTGCCATCAAGCCAGCCCCGCGGGGCCACGCTGTACTCTGCCCTTTCCCCCTTCACCTTGGTTTCTTGACAGTAGAGCCTGTGTCCACATGTGACTGGCTGGTGTCTTTCTGATTCTTGTTAATTCAGTTTTCCTACTGTGAGGGTGTTGTGTTCTTTTTCTCCTCAACTTTTCTGACACAGCGAATCGAGGGCTTTGGCCGAGGCCGAATCTCCCAAACTTGTCCGCTAAGTAAACCATGATGTGCACCTTCCTTCCCATCATACCCTCGCCCTATGCCTCCCCTGTCCCGACACGGACCCTCAGACTTCAGAGGAGAACCCTGTGGGAACAGGCCAGCTCCTGCCCTGAGGGTGGCCCCAGCGAGACTCCCCCATGGCCCTGGCTGCTACTCTGGGTGGCCCTGCCGTTTGTACAGGTGAGAAGACACGGCTGCTCGGTCGTGTGGTGTGTGGGTTTCTGCCGAGACCAGGTCTGCGCTGGAGGCTTTTCTGCTCTTGGTCCACGCTTCGGGTCTGTGTGCACGATGCTGAGCGTCGGCAGCCGCCTCTTTGGTCGGTTCCTGGGCCCACAGCTCTGATCAGCTGCAGCCTGCTTCGGGAGGGGTGGTCAAGCCCCCTCCTGTCCCTGTCGGCTCCGTTTCAGAGGTGGCCAGTTGGCTAAAGCTCCCATCCACAGCTGGGAAGCCCAAGCCACAGCCCTGCAGCACCATTTCCGCTCTGGGATCTTGTAAGTTACTTTTTTAGGCTGTGGTTTGGTGAAAGGAACCAACAGAGTAACGATTTTTTTCCCCCAGAAGCCACTGAATAATTCTTTTTGGCGCGTTTTTGCCTTCCTGTTGGCTGTCTAGTTTTGGAGCAGGTGGGGAGAGTGGAGGACACACAGAGGCAGGGGTGTGCCCTGGAGACTGATGGCCTGTCTTGCTTCTGGCCTGTGTGTTTTGCGCGTGTGCTGTACCTTTGGGCCGGTCACGCACGTTTGCACCCCACGCTGGAGCAGCAGCCTTGGTATGTGGGTGTCTGGCAAGCCTGAGCTGGAGTGCAGGAGAGTGTGCCCCGATGGACTGTGAGGGGGCAGCCCCTCCAGCACCCTCGTGTCCCAGCCCCCCCTCCTCCCCATCCCCTCAATTTGCTACTCCCTGAAGCCTTTAACCAAACGGGAGTGGGTACAGAAAGCCTTCTCCTGGCATCTTAGGGCAACGGGACAAGGGCTGCCCAGTGCGTCCGGCTCTGGTGCTCTCCTGGCGCTGAGAGGCTGGGTCCAAGCGGAGTGATCAGACCCGCCCTGCCTGCCCTGCCTAGGGCTGAAACCAGGGGAGGCGGTGGCACCCTGGGCCCTGCCAGGGCAGGCAGGGGTTGTGGAAGATCCAGGTGAGGAGGAGCCTCCCTGGGGCGGGCCGTGGCCTCAGTGCTCACCCCGCCCTGTGCAGTATTTATTGCTAAATTATTGTCCAGGGGGGGCGGCACTGGGCCGGACCCCGGGTATTTATTGCTGTACATAGTGTATGTTTGTGATATATAAGGTTTTCTTTATTTTGTATATGATCAATAAACACCTTTTAAAGAGACTGTCAGGTGCTTCCTTTGCGCGCCGCGCGGGCGGGGCCGGAAGGGCGGGGCGGGCCGTGCGCGCATGCGCCGGTGCGCGGCCTGCCGGGAGGCGGAAGCGGAAGCGCGGGTCTCCCGGGAGCGATGGCAGCCGGGGGTCCCAGCCGCTCGGAGCGCAAAGCGGCGGAGCGGGTCCGGAGGCTGCGGGAGGAGCAGCAGCGGGAGCGCCTCCGTCAGGTAGGCCGCCGCCCGCCCCGCGCCGCGCCCCCGCCCCGCGCAGCCCTCACCGCCTGCCCCGCGCCCGCAGGTGTCGCGCATCCTGAGGAAGGCGGCGGCCGAGCGCAGCGCGGAGGAGGGACGGCTCCTGGCCGAGAGCGAGGACCTGGTGACCGAGCTGCAGGGCCGGAGCAGGCGGCGCGAGGGCCTGAAGCGGCGGCAGGAGGAGGCGAGTCCCGGGGCCCGGGCGGCGCGGGGCCCGGGCGGCGGGCCGCCGGGGTCGGACCTCTCGCCGGGCGGGGGCGGGGCTTACGGCCGGCCTCGGCGTCTCGGCAGGTGTGCGACGACCCGGAGGAGCTGCGGAGGAAAGTGCGGGAGCTGGCCGGCGCCGTGCGGAACGCCAAGTACCTGGTCGTCTACACGGGCGCCGGGATCAGCACGGTACGGCGGCCAGGCGTCGGCTCCCAGGTCCGGGAGAAACCCGGGGCGCCGGCGCCGGGCGGGTGTGGGGCGCCCCCTTCTGGGTGACTGGCCCTAGGACCGAGGAGAGCGCCTGAAACTCGAACGGGCTCCAACTTCACTGAGGGCATAAGTACTTCTGAATATTTGCAGTTTGTGCGGTAGCCAGTTCGAGACGAGAAGGGAAGCGGGATAAAACGGGGCGTAATACGTTAGGGCCAGCAGGCACCTCCTCGTGCGGAGTCCGGGAGGTTAACTCACTGTCCGAGGTTACGTGGGTGGAGTGAAGCCCCAAACTGTCTCCTGATTCCCCGCTCATTGTGTTTTCTGAATGTTGAGGGCAAGTAAGTAGAGCGCAGGGTAGTAAGAATTAGTGTACGCCAGGTAAGGAAGAGAAACGCATCAGGTTTGGGAACGTTTTATTGAGAAGCTATCTTGCACCATGGAACTCGGCCAGCTTTGAGAGTGTCACGTGTCTGCCTGACGGGTGCGTGTGGAGTGTGACCCATGTGTGGGCCCAGCAGAGGTGAACACGGGATTTCCGCCCTCAGGAAGCCCGCAGGTGGTGAGGGGATGGCAGCTAAGCCCATCGCTGTAACGTAAGGCTGGCTGTGCCGTGTTGCCAGAGAGGACATGCAGACACGGCCTCTGCGGTCTCAGAGCGCTGGGAAATCCATCCGGTTTGCTTTCTGTGCAGCGCGGCATTGAGGCCAGGCCTTGAAGGTAGAGTAAGGTTTTACGGGAAAAGGCGAGAGTAAGATCCAGCGAGATCGTGTCAGGGGCACTGACACAGCAACTTGCAGACTCTGGTGCTCGGGTTTCCGTCCTCCCGTCAGGCGTGCGTCCCTGTCGTATCTGAAAGCTCCGCTCTTTAGTTCGCTCTGACCATTAGTATTCGAGGTTTCTCTCTTCAGTGTGATTCAGAAGCACACTGCTTGGGTGGGCGTTCTTCTGAGCCTAAGCAGCAGGGAGGAGACAGGGCTCCCCAGAAGGGGGGGTGTCCCTCACAGCCTAGGGAACGCAGGACTTCTTGGTCCCAGCACCCCTTCTGTCTTCCCTCCTGGTGGCTTTGTTTCACTGCATTGAGAACTAGGGACACTCGGGGTTTAGCTCGTCTGGAGAGGTTGGCTGTCTTTGTGAACGAAGGGCAGGAAACGCAGTATCAGGATGTAGGGGCTAGGACAGAGCAGCGCCTCAGCGTTTGCTCAGCCTTTCCTGAGCACCAGCTCAGCCCTGGGGACACACGGATGAGCCCGACCCGCCCTCCTCCTCAGTTTGGAGGACAGGTGTGGCCACAGAGCCCAGGCTGTCCTCCGTGCTGGGGAGGCTCCCGGAGGAGGCAGGGCTCCTTGAAAGCTGGAGGGATGAGCTAGACTGGGGTGGGGAGGGGGCAGGGGTCCGGGCGGAGGGAAGGAGCCACTCCATCTGGGTTCAGGCAGGTTGCACTAGGAAGCGCTGAGCCTGTGCAATGGAGGCCAGAGCACGGACAAGCCTGGAACACCTCAAGAGAATGTTTAGTTTTCACTTGGGGGAATTTTGCCAGTTCCCGTGGTGACGCATTTTCACTGGCCTTGTCGTCCTTCCGAACACGCAGGCGGCCTCTATCCCAGATTACCGGGGCCCTAATGGAGTCTGGACGCTGCTGCAGAAAGGGCGAAGCGTCAGGTAAGCAGCCTGCCGCGGCCTCCCGCCCAGGTGAGCGGAGGCGGCCTGGGCCCGACCTCACCGCTCCCCACGCCTTTGCCTCCCTTCCGCCTGGCAGCGCTGCTGACCTGAGTGAGGCCGAGCCAACCCTCACCCACATGAGCATCGCCCGCTTACACGAGCAAAAGCTGGTAAGAGCCCAGTGTGGCTGGCTAGTGTTCTTGCCGGGTGCCTGGCACGGGAGCTAGAGGGCTGGGCAAGCGCGTCACGCCTGTGTGCCAGTGGGGCCCTGGGACGCATGCGCATGGAGCGTTTTAGACTCCGCTGCTGCTTTTTCAAGAGAAGGGTAGTGTCTCTCGTGGATCATAGGGCTGGCGTCAGCCCCAGAGCTGCTGGTGGCTTTTCCCTCCTGCGTTTCTCGTGTTGTCCCCACAGACCTCAGAAGCCACCTAGATACAGGGAGGCCTGTGGGGACCCTCTGGAGGCCCTCGGGCGAGCACCTTCACCCAAGTGGGGAAGGATCAGTCCTCCTGGGCCTTCAGGGACCAGAAACACGACGACCCGAGAGAGCATCGGTTCGGGGCCCGAGCCCCTTCCCCTGCCGAGAGCAAACACCTGCCCTCCCACCTCACTAAGTGCTTTGGGGGGTGCAGCTTGGGGCTCCCCACCCCCACCCCCAGACCTGCTGGGACCGGCCTGCCGCCCCGGTTTTGCCTGTGATGCTCCTCGCGAGCCGGAGCTGCCCCTGGTTTGGGGGCTCTGGGCGGGGTTAGGGACGTTTTCACTGCTGAGCACAGTCCCCCGCAGGCCACGTGCCGACTCGCCCTGCTGTCCCCCGCAGGTGCAGCACGTGGTGTCTCAGAACTGCGACGGGCTCCATCTGCGGAGCGGGCTGCCGCGGACGGCCATCTCGGAGCTCCACGGGAACATGTACATCGAAGTGAGCGGTCCCGCTGGGATCCGGGGGCCTATGCGGGCCAGCGGCCCCTGCTCACGGCGCCCTCTCCTCCTCAGGTCTGTACGGCCTGCACGCCCAACAGGGAGTACGTGAGGGTGTTTGATGTGACAGAGCGCACCGCGCTGCACCGGCATCAGACGGGCCGGGCGTGCCACAAGTGCGGGGCGCAGCTGCGGGACACCATCGTGCACTTTGGGGAGCGGGGCACGCTGGGGCAGCCTCTGAACTGGGAGGCAGCCACTGAGGCTGCCAGCAAGGCAGACACCATCCTGTGTTTGGGCTCCAGCTTAAAGGTACGTGAACAGCACCGCGAACTGGACGGGAGGGGACAGAGCCTGCCAGTTCCTGGCCGCTTCCGCGTTAGAACCTAGCTTCCTGTAGCTTCGTTCCCTCTTGTGCATGTGGTCTTTCTGTCCGTCTGTCCGTTCCTACAGGTTCTAAAGAAGTATCCACGCCTCTGGTGCATGACCAAGCCCCCCAGCCGGCGGCCCAAGCTCTACATTGTAAACTTGCAGGTAACTTGAGCACCCAGAGACGCCTCCTTAGACCTGGGCCTCAGAAGTCTGGCAAGAAAGGGCCGTTGGGGAGAAGTGAGGTGTCCTCACTTGCCTTCCCCTGTTCCCAGTGGACCCCGAAGGATGACTGGGCTGCCCTGAAGCTTCATGGGAAATGTGATGACGTCATGCAGCTCCTCATGGATGAGCTAGGCCTGGAGATTCCCCCCTACAGCAGGTGAGGGGGGCACGGGGGCACCCCCCCGTTCCCTGCCCTGTGTGGATGGGCCGCGTCTGTCTTTTCTTGTGAACTGAGCGTACAGAGTGCTGAGTTGTCGCAGATGGTGTCTGACGCGTGACCGCAGTTTGGTGGCCTCTGCCGGCAAGGGGGAGTGGCAGAGGCATCAGCTGAGGCTCCCTGGCTGGTGTGACTCCCCGTGGGGAGAGAGAATGTGCCAGTGTCTGGAGAGCCCCCTCCTGCCTCAGACAGCCTGGACACGAAGGTGCCTTGAAGGGAACGCAGTCTCGGCATCTCCAAACAGGATCTCGGTGCACTCGGTTCGGGGAGCTGGCATACTTTGGGGAAGCTTGAACTGTACCTTAATACAGAATTTGTGATAATTTAGACGTGGTGTATGTATTGAGTAAAAAGTTTACACTTTCTTTCTCTGTGAATTTTCAGGGTCTTATAGGGGAAATCAATAACTTCTTTTAATCAAAGGGTTCAAGAATTAAGGATCCCTTCACCTTCTGGGCCTGGCAATTCTTGTATGTTATGTTCGTGCTGTTCTGTACTGTGGGCCTATCGTGTACTGTACTTTTTTTTTTTTTTACATTAACTTAGCTCATTTTCTTTATCAGTGCTTATCTGTATCTTAAGTTTTTAATATGTGGTTCTACATCTCCGTCAGACACATGATCTCTTCACGGTGTAGTCTGTAGGCCGTGCCTCCCTAGTCAGCTGGCCTTTCCCACCCCGGCAGGTCTCGAAGTCTGGGAAGAGGGAGAGGGTCTGGTCCACCCGCCCCTGACCGTACAAGTGAAAGGTGGGACCCAGAGTTGCTAGTGACCAACCGCTGTCCCACCTTGGGCACACACGGCCTGCTTGATCACCAGTGAGGACACTGAGTTCTCGGAACCTTAGCTTTCTCGCAGCTGTTCCTTAGCTCGGGGATGGCGGAGGTCCCGCGAGGCAGAGTCGGGCCACAGTTCAGACCCGGGGGGGCGGGGGGGGGGGGCAGCAGGGTGA